CTGTGTCTGTGGTTCAGACACAGGCACAGCCTACATACACATATACATGCATATGTACATGTATTAACACATACATACATACATGAGTGCAAACCATTTAAAAGAAGCTGTGCCTGTGTCTATGATTTGTTTGGTGTTGCAGAAACAACAAAACCCAGATGGGAGCCGACCACCTGATGTGTCATCGCTGATGTGACACCAGAACCAGATTTAGATCCTCGATTGCTTCAATGGAGACCATGTTTATGTGTGAACACCGTTTTATAAAGACAACTTGCTCAAATAAAATTCAGACCAACTTGTTTGTGTCATCTGCTTCAATCTGCATTGAGACTGTCACAGTCTGAGCTCATCAATGAATAACTCGTGCAAAGCTGAACAACAGTCCACAGAGCTGATGAAATCACTGGAAAAAGTTCAGACCAGGTCACAAATTCTTGCACAGTCAACCAGAAGTGTACAAACTTTCCGATGCCCATTTTATAGCAATGTTTGTTTATGCATAAAAGCAAAAGCTATTCACATCATACTTTGCAAATCATAATTTCCCTCATAATATGCAGAAGATGGAGTGAACACAGAACAAAACAGAGTCCAAATGGCTGGCAGTGTTTCCTGCTCCACCTGCCAGTTTGGCAAATCTTTGTTAGCAGGTCCTGTTAGGATCTAAATATCCCAGGAGCGTTGTGGGGGGACTTTTGGAGTCGCAAACTGAACTCTGCATGCAAATAATAGAGGATCCCTGCAAAAAAAAGAGAGAGACGGATGTTTGCCAGGTCTGTGTGACATGCTCTGTTTGTTTGATTTACTGACCCATCGGGGCTGTTTCGTAGAGTACACAATGACACCACGGAAAGTCCACTGCCCGCACAGCATGAAGCTCTCAATGTCCTTTGGCAAAAGATTAAATGCACATTTCAGCTTTAACCGTCAGGATAATTTTTTGTACATCTTTTTTATTATTATCTGACAGTATTGCTTTGTGACTGGACAAGATGATGTTAGCATTACCTGACACTAATTAACTGAGATTACATGAAACAAATGGAATATGCCACCTGCCAAAAGCAATGATTGCATTCTAACCAAAAACCGGTCTTTGAGACAACTTCCTGCTCCTGCCTACACTGATTTAGCCAGATGGTGCTGAATTGCACCAAAAGACACCACCATCAAAAGCTGAGCAGGATGACTCCAATTATAACAGCAACAATATGCTCCATTTTCATCTGGAATATCCTGAAGACTTTCAAAGATGACAGGCAAATCTGTTGTGCCGGCGGCAATATCCACATCACCTCATGGTCATGGAGGATTAGGGCAGACTGACCTTGTGTCGAAATGGCTTCATCTGGTTACATCAGGTGGGCAGAGAACATTCGAGACCGTCTGATGTGCTCGTTTGGAGGAGGAGGGATGGGCCACTCTGTAATTGTGGCACGCCTCATTAGGTAGACTATACGATCCAGATTAAAACCCATCTGAGAGCAGCTGATAGTAAAACTAGGTGATGTTCAGTGCAATTGCTCCATGCTTTGTGCACAGAAATTAATCAAAGCTTTTATTATATTATCAAAGTGGCACTTTACAGTGTAAAAAAAGACTAAGCACAGTTTTAGCAGATAGTTTTTTTTTAAATAACACACGACCTACTGTTAGAACTTTAATCTTTTGTGTTTTGGTTCTACAAAACGCCTCATTTATGTAATTTTTTTTTTTTTTTTTTTTTTTTTTGTGAGCTCAGTTTAAGTGTAGAAACATTGTGAAGTGTTTCAATGAACTTATCATCATCACTCAATTTTTTTTTTTTTTTTTTTTTTTTTAAAGAAAGAGAAGAAAGAAGAATAAATAAATAATAAAAAAGAAGAAGATAAGGCGAGAGACCACCATGACAAAACAACATGCACAGCACAATGCCACCGACAATATCACCACTCATTTATGTAATTTAAAACTGAATCAAATATTTCATGTTGGCATGTTACAGTATGAACACTAGAGGGCAGTGTTCAGCAAAATGAAATGCTTGGCAAGTGTTGAAGGCCCTGGATCCAGGCAGTATTTGTGGAGCTCACAGAAATGGCTGTGGGCTGAGTGTTGACATTTTCAGAATAAATAAATATGTAGCTTGGCCCATCGATAGGGCTCTTCTTTCTAGTTTGCAGAAAGAGGTGAAATTTTGACCAAATCTTTGTGTTCTTAACATGTCACAGTGGCGACAACACTAAATCACCTCGTCCTACTCCAGAGCATCCTAATTATTTATAAAATCAATAAATATTTGCATTAATAAAAAAAAGTTATTACTTTGTTGGTCTATATGAAGTTGGCACACCTTATTATTGACATTGCACTACACGCCACCAGAGGAACCACCAGAGGGGGGAAAAGAAAATCTATGTAATGCCACTTTGTTTGTTAATATGTGCTGCTGATTATCCATGCTGCTGATCTCATGCTGCTGATCTCATGCTGCTGTGTTCATTCGTACTCATCTGTTCACACAGACTCATGTTCTTGCTGCTGTTGTTCGGCGTATTGTTTTGCATTATTAGTATTAGTGTTTAGCATATTTCTTAGTTTATATCTTAAATCCTTAGTACTGTTTCTTTTTACAATTTATACTTTTGCTTTTGTTGGATGTAACTGGAACCCTGTGTGCACAGTTTCGTTCCACCTCATGTACCACATGTGATGCAGATGACAATAAAGAACCGTGAACCTTGAGGAACACAAGATATTTCCTGCATCTGCAATGTTTTCAGGGGAAATTCTGAAGAAAATAATTTTCAAGATTGAAATCCTATGAATATTTGGCATATGTATATGAGCATGATGACAGCACATATCATATGTTGATGTTGGAAGCATAACATTTTTTGTGTTTGATGTTCGTGTTCATGTTGTTTGTGTAAGATTTTTGCACAAAAACAGTTGGCAGCTGAGGAGGCTAATGTTAGTCATGTTAAAGGCTGTGAAGCTCGTGCATTTGTCTGAAAAGAAAAGTGCAAGCACCGATAGATAATATCACACGACTGAAGCCAACAGTGACATAATTCTTCTAAAATGATCAATTATGACCCCACATTCTAACAATAGTCAGTTATGATCTAATGTAAATTATAGGGCTTCATGTTTCCAACAACAAAAACACTTCACACATCAATTTTCATAGAAAGTTTGGTTTATTGTTGAAAGATCATCTGAAGTGTAAAGTATTGCAGCAGCTGCAGTGAGTGCTGTAGTTCCACTGCACGTGTGCAAAAGGTGGCAACTCAGAAAACTGTTTTAGTCATGCCTCCAAACTGATATAAACAATCATCTATTTCTCACTGAATAGTTTTGTTGCTGTCATTTTTAAGATTCTGATTTTAACTTTAAGTGAAATACAATTCAATTCAAAAATACTTTATTAATCCCAAAGGGAAATTAAATATTGTTGTAACTCGTTATCCTTGTTTCATTAAGAGATGTTATTGACACTGATGGCAGGAAGGATCTCTTGTAAAGATCCGTCCCACAGTGGATCCGAAGAAAATGATGCTGTCCGATCCGTCCACCCAGACTTGGCTGGCCGCTTGGTTCCCCCACAGGACCACCTGAATCCCAGGAAGAACTCCTCCCAGAGCAATGGTGTCTCCTCCCAGCAGCTGCTGAGTTCCTCGTTGCTGCGGACAGATGGCTGCAGGTGTCGGGATGATCCTGATCCTTGTCATGAGCCATGTTTCCTGCTAGTTCCAGGATGTCAGTGGTCAGGCACTTGAGCACAGCTGTCAGGGAGACGGGAACGCATCTACGGCACCTCCTTTTTCAATTCATTTGACATTTGCTGTAGTTGAGATATTTGAGCTTTTGAGATGTTAATCAGCTGCTCCTGGTTGTAAAAAGCGCTTGTTGTTTGGGTTACGCATCATAACAAATGCCCAAAAGTAAAAAAATAGTTTCAGTACGAATCCTTCCATCTGCACAGCATCAAAGACCAGAGGAAACAATCATCCAAAAAAGGTGGTCCACGTCCAAAAAAAGAGGAACCAAAGTTTCCAAAAGCAAAATCTCAGAATGAATGTAACAAAGCTACTCCAACATGCAGCCACACCGAGCAGCGCAATTCTAGAATCTAGAATAAACGTAAAAAACAATATTGTGACATAACTTCATGCACAGATGAGTCATGCACTTTTATTTA